ACCCAGTAAATTCACAGTAGTGGCACCATCACAGCCCATCCAAACCTTGCCATTATTCCCTTTCAGATTTCATGCTTAAAACCCCTGCAAAGTGTAATTTCCTCCCATTTCCCAGGCACTCAGCTCAGCTTCAGCTCTCACACAAAAGGAGGAACATCTCTCTTTCTGCAGAGCAAATAGCAGGATATCAAGTCAGCAAAGAACCAGAGCTGCCCTCAGTGGGATCTGAGCTTTCCAGATTTTTCCTTCTTCAGGACATCTTCAAATATTGCAGATGTCATAAATATCCACAAAGAGAGATCTTCACACTTGAAGCAAGACCAGCAAAAAAAAAAAACAAAAACAAAAAAACCAAAAAACCCCACAAAACCAAAAAAAAAACCCCAAAAAAACCTACAAAGAGTTATTAATACAGAATTAAGCTGAATCCTCATCATCCCCTCTGCTTTTATAAAATATTTTGGGGGTTTAGAGGGGTTTTGTTCACAGATCAGCTCCTTTAATGATGTTTCTTAAAGCAGAAAACAAATAATATTCAGTGTTCTCACAGCACTTTGGAATCTGAGAGCTCTGTGGGATTTTCCTTGCACGCCTCAGAGCAAAAGGGAAAGGTAAAAATCTCATTGGGCTTGATTAAATCACCCTGAGCTGGAGTGTCCCTCAGTGTGTCACCACTTCATACCTATCATTTCATCTAAAAAGGCTGAAAACCAAATTTGATGTCAGGAACTTGGAATGATAATTTGAATTCCAGCTCAAATAATAACACACGTGGCAGAGGAGCTGGATATGGGGATATTTATTTGGGGTGAAGGCCCTGAGCTGGTGGTCGTGGTGCCCTGATTATCTTCATCCTGCACAAGCTGAGGTTATTAATACACTTTTAGCCACGTGGCACAGCAGAGGGATGGTAAATAACAAGAAAAATGCTCATTTTAGCCCTGACAAAAATAACACATTTTCAAAATGCAGGGCATAAAGACCTCAATATCATCTGTAAATTAAATCCTTACCCCACAAGGCTGAAGGAAGGTTAGAAATAAATTATTCCATCCAGGTCACAACAACCACTTTTCCTCTCCATGTTTTCTTGTTTTCATAGGTGACAGTTCATGGAATTAAAGCCATCCTGCAAACCTGATCAGTTTAGAGCTCAGGCAGGAAAAATATATCAAAGCCAGGGATGTGGCCACACAGAAATTGCTCAAATAACAGGAAAACAGATCTTCCATCCACCCAGGGCAAAATCCACTTTGCTTCCACTCTCCAGCTGCTTAGAAGAGCTTTAAAAACTCTCCTTGTCCCCATTTATCTTGAATTTTAGTGGGGAAGATGAGGATGATGTTCCCTGTTGCACACAACAGGGAATTATCTCAATCCCAAATTGAGATATTTGCCCAAATCCACTCCCCTGTGTTTGAGCAGGATCACATCTCCCACCTGAGGCTTGGGAGGAGCTGCAGGAGAATGGCCAGGCAAAGCTGGATTTTGGGATGGGGCTTTGCTATGCTGCTCTGCCAGAAAGCAGTAGGATGGGGATCAGCAAAGCCAAAATCTCACTCTGGGCAGCCTTCAGGACTTTTCTGGAGCTTCCAGGTACATCCCAGGGGTTGCAGGGAAACAGCACAAGGGCACAAGCCCCAGACCAGCCTTGCCCAAGGCTCCACTTCCCCCTTTCCCCCAGTGCTTATCCCAAATCCAACAAGTCCTCAAGCTGGAGGAAAGCCTGACTCACTCCCTATCACAGCCATCAGTCATCCACACACGTGGCTTTGGTGTGTGGAAAAAAAGGAATTGCTTTAATTTTCCAATAGTTCAGGGCCAGATATCCCTGCTGGCATGGAGAGCTGTGAATTTTTCATGGGGGCCCTTCGCTCCTTACTCAAAGTTTGTGTTTTCAGCTCCTTCTCGCTGCAAACTGGAGCAGCTGCAGGAGATTTGGGACTCCATCCCACAGCACATGGCTTTGCTGAGGTGTTTTGTCCCCTCTTCCTGGCCATGGGGACAGGCAGACATCACCCCAAAGGCTGAGGGCAGCACCCACAGATTCCTGGCACTGGGTTTTGGGAAGTGGCTTTGGAGCTGAGCTGCTCTCCAAGGAACCTTTTCCACAAGGAGAGAGGCAAGGAGATAAAAGAGTGGCCATGGGAGAGAAGACACTTGTTCAGATGTCTTTGATCCCCCTGTCCTCGCTGGAAAACTTCCTGCACAATCTGAGTTTCCTGAACAGCAAATCTGCCCCTTCCGAGGCCTCAGGAACCCTAAAGGTGACAAGAGCTGCACTCCAGGACCTGGGTTTCCTTGAACAGCATTAAACACATCTGTAATGGGACAAAATCCAACCCCTGACTTCCAAATGATCTGGAAAGGAGTTTTTTCTTGGCTCCTTTCACACCCCAACCCACAGGCCAGGCTGGGATCTCAGCAGGGCCTGGGAGCAGCAATCCAGCCATGCACCCCTGCCTGGACACCCACACAAAACTCACCCAAACATTTCCACCTCCCAGATTCCTCCTTCACAGCACTCCAGCCTCCTCCAGCACAAGTTCCAGCTTTTGGTTTGGATTTGCTGGCTGGAATCAGCATCCCCTGAGCTCCACAGCCACGCTGGGGAGCCCAGGCCAGTTTTTCCTGGCCATACAGACTCAGGCTGTGTTTACGCAGGGCTTGGAAAAATGATTCAACTTTTATTTTAGCTCAGAGGAGAGACCAAGGGCTCACCTTTAAGCTAAGGGTGGTATAAATAGAAGCTGAGTGAAAAAAAGCAATGTACAGAGTCAGGAAAGCCTCCCCAGGAGGGAGGAGAGAAGCAGGACCCCATAACCCTGAGCAGGGACATATTTAAAAGAGAAGGTTAACAGGGACCAGGGTCCAGCTCAGCTCCATCCACCTCTGGATGGATAAGGACAAGCTCCCAGCTGCCTCAACTTATATATTTATGTATATTCGTGCCACAGGATGCAGAGCAAAAGCCAAAACTGCAGCACTCCTGGCCCAGAGTGTTCTCCTGCTCTCACACATTGTGCCAAGCCTCTGTCAAAGTGAAGTAAATCTGGGGGAAGAGAGGGCTGGGAGCTGGAAAATAACCCTGGTGACTAAAGCATGCAACTTTCTGGGGACTTGCAGAACATCAGTATCTCAGGAAACCACCATGAAACATTGGGATGAAGTTACTTTCCACTCAGCTGGCAAAAACAGAAAAAGGGTTTAAAGCACAGCCAGTGGCACCCAAACCTGAGCAAGGCAAAGCCACTAACGAGGAGCTGCTGCACAGCCCTGCTGCTGCTGGAGCTGTTTTCTGTCACCTGCACAACCCCTGCTTCCCTCTCCAAGGCAACACCCATCCATCCATCCATCCATCCATCCATCCATCCATCCATCCATCCATCCATCCATCCATCCATCCATCCATCCATCCATCCCTCCATCCCTCCATCCCTCCATGCCTGGTGTGGTGCTTTGAGCTGTGCAAAGGATGTGGAGAGCACCAAGGGCATCCAAAAATCATCTCCTGCAGAGTAAGAGCCTCACTGCTGCACAGGCTGATTCTTTTGGGGTTTTGCCACCACAGAATCCCAGAACTGTCAGGCTGGAAGGCCCAAACTTCATCCCAGCACAGGGCACAGGGTTGTGTCCAGACAGCTCTGGGATCTCTCCAGTGAAGGGAGGCTCCACAGCCCCTCTGGACAATCTGTTCCAGCTCTCACCTGCACTGGGAAGAAATTCTTCCTCATTTTCAGGTGGAGCTTCCTGGGTATCAGTTCCTGCCAGTTCCTCTTGTCCCACTGCTGGGTCCCTGCACATAGGGACAGCCAGGGATGAGGGCCCCTGCCTCTCAGCATCTCCTCTCCAAGCTGAGCAGCCCCAGCTCTCTCAGCCTTTCCTTGTCAGAGATGCTCCAGTCCCTTCATCCTCTTCATCTCCCTGCTCTGGCCCCACTCCAGGAGCTTCTTATGCCCTGAGGAGCCCAGAACTGGACACAGCTGTCCAGATGTGCTTCACAGGGCTGAGCAGAGGAATGAGGACTCTGCATTTCCCTGCTTACCCTGGCACTGCCTCCTCCACAGCCTTTGGTGCCAAAAGAAACCTGCAGGGGGACAAGGGAGAGCAGGAGCTGGGCACTGGAGCAGCTCTAGGCTCAGGAGTGGCCTCGGGGGGTTTTTATGGGGAATACAGAACTCTCCTGCCATGGCTCACCCTCAGGAGGAGGAACCAGCCTAGTCACAGGGCTCTGGAAAAGGACAACCTCAGCAGGGGAACGGGGCCTCTCCGCCTGGAAAGACGCCCGGCACGAGAGCAGCTTTCTCCACTTTCCCAGCTCATGGGGGAGGAGGAAGGAAAGGATCAGGATCTTATTCTCCACAGGAAAAGGGATCCATGGATATCCCTGCACTGTACAGGGGTGTGGCTCCATCTCGATCTCAGGCTGTAGGACACCCTTGGTCTCTGGAGGTGGAGATTCGGGTCCCTGCTGTGCCCTCCACCCTTCCCAACACCTTTTACTGAGTGCAGAGAGTTTTATAAAACTTCAGAGTCAGACTCACACCACAGCACAGGCAGGCACAGCCCAAACAGCACCTTTGTGATTTTGCCTCACAACATGAAAGAAATCTGTGTTTCGAAAACAAAAAAAGCAATTTCCCTCCTTTTCAAACAGTGGTGGAGGCTATAACTGAGTAAAACATGCACAAAAAGCAGCAGTGAATGTCTCCATCCCTTCAGACACTCGCACAGGAAATTAAAGACCTGTTATTAGCAGCAAATACAGGAGAGTGATGCCTGCAGCTCCATCCACCCATGGATGATCCCTTGCTACACACAACCCAAAAGGAGTGCCAACATTAGCCAAATATCACTTGTTGAGCCGGAAAACCTGATCCTCTCGGTGCAGAGCCACCCAGAACTGGGAGGATTTTCCCCTGGCACTCTGGGGGAAGCTCCACATTCCCAGTTTCCCAAGGCAGCACAGCCCCAGAGTGTGAGGACACCGTGGCACCTACTGGTTTGGGGCAGTGGATGTATCTTGCCAGGCTGATGATGAGGTCGTGGGTGATGGGATCCACCAGGTTTCGGAAGCTGGCGTAACGATAGAGGACATCATCCAGAGAGGTGGACTCCATCCCCAAATCCTGCAGGAAACAGGGCAAAGGAGCAAGGTTAGGTGGGATAGAAAAGCCAGTGGTTCTTAAAGTCAGCCCTCACTGGAGGAGGAGCCAAGGAGGAAATGATCCCACTAAAATGAAACGATCCATTTTAGCTCCCACTAAAAATGTTGTTGGAGGGTTTTTGTTTTTCCTGCAGTTTCGGTGACAAAGGGAAGGAAGGCAAACCTTGTGTCACCTTGAGGGAAGCTGCACCCCTGGCCTTCCCCTGCTCTGCAAAGAGGCTTTAGGGCTGCAGGATCAGCCTCATAAACCCACTGAGCTAATGACACCCTTGCAACAGGATGAAATCCAAGATGACCCCAGAGAACTTCACACAGAACTGCAACTGGAGAATCAATCCAGGGAGGGAGGAACGAACTGAAACTGCAGCACTGGGAACAGGAGGATGGATTGGAGAGAGGAAAGAGCAAAATGCTGGATTAGACTGACTGGGAAGGAGTGGAAGCTCTGCCAGTAGAGACTGGACAAGGTGGTGCCAGGAGCAGTTCAGGTGGAGCTGATCCTGCCCCAGGGATGGGCCAGACCTCCTGAGGTCCCCTCCAAGGCTGATTTCTGTGGTTTGTATTTCTTAAACTGAATAATTTGAGGAATTTTAGCAGATAACTCCCTGTATGGAATACATCAGTGCATAGGGGTGAGGAGGGGAAGGGTTATACACAGTGTACTCCTTTCACCTCAAATATATTTGTGTGTATAATACCCAGACACTCTTTTTATTCCTTTTTGAACTTCTTTTACTTCCCATGGAGCTGGTGGCACCCAGCACAAAGAATTTCCTCCTGGCAAACACAAGCCAATAACACCTTGGCACCGTGCAATAAATTAAAGCTTGTCCTGAGCTCAGAGATCCTCCAGCCCCAAAAACCCCACGGGAAGGCATATTGCTTGTAGGTGTGGATGCTCTGTGATGTCAGACAGGTGGAAAATAAACATCTACAGTTAAAAAAAATCCATCGTGCCTTCAGACACAACAGCCCGAGGGAACTCACATTACAGCAGTTACAGCTCAGGCCACAAACGAGGTGACAAGTGTTTATCCCACTGGTTTCCTTGGTATTTTTAGGATCAACCCTGCAGCACTGCCTGAGTTAATACCAACTCCTTGACTGCAAAGAGGTTATTTAGTAAAAAAAGAGCCGAGGCAGTTAAAAAACAAACACATGTGCGGCTGCCCAGCTGGGAAAATCAAGTGGCCAAACTGATTTCTGGTCTGTCTCATGCTTTCTGACTAATTACTATTTACAAATCATACTAATTATATTATAGAATGCAAATTATATATATTATACAAATTACTATTTACAAATTTATACAAATTATTATTTTTGTACTTAAAGAAATAAAGAATCTCAACATGGAGAGAGCTTGGGCTCCTTTGCAAGAGGAAGAAGAAATAGAAATTGTGGATGAAGGTGCTCAAAGGAAACTCCCACTCTTCCAGGGAGAAGGACCAAACAGCAGTGTGGATGTCACCTTCCTGGTTTGGTAAAGCTCAGCATTAGGATTAAGCAAACATCAGATGAAAGCTGGATTTGGTCCATGATCTATGGCAAACACCAGGCACTACCAGAGAGCCAATCTGGGGACCAGGGACAACTCACTGGGACCTCTCAGGATCAAACCAGGCTCAGCATCTTGCCCCTTCAAGCATCTCAAAACTCTTCACCATTTTCTCTTCAGCTACAATTAAAATGTCCAGCTCATAAATCAGAGAATTTCTCCTCCTCTCTCCTGGGAGAACTTTACATTTTCCACATGGAGCGTTCCCTCCTCCCTCCTGGTACTCACATTTTTTATGCACAGATGTCTTTCTCAGCTGCTCCCCAAACCTCTCTGCCACACCAGCATTGTCTCTTTTCCACCACACACAATACTTTAAAGCCTCTGAAGGCTGAAACTTGTCCGAGGCCAAGTGATGAGCTCATCTGCAATTTAATAGCTTAACACCATTCATGCTGTCAGCAGCAAATCACCCATCACTGGCTTTGCAGAAAACGCCCAGCATCTGGCTCCAGTCACTTTTTTCAGCACGTTCTTTTTTCCCAGGGGATTTTACCTGGATGGCAAGTGCAGATTTCAAATAAATAAGGGTTTAAAGTGATGGGATTTATGAGCCAGGCATGGCTTTCTCAGGACTAATTTGAGGGGTTTTCAGGAGTGGATCCAAACCCATGAACTCTGCTGGGGTGCTTTGTCCATGTGTGACAGGAAAATGGGAACATCTCTGCAGGAAGTGACAGGAAAAAGGGGAAATTTTCAAGCAGAAATCACCTGTGACTTTTCTGCAGTTTATCCTATTTGTTTCCAGCCTTAGGAAGCTGAAAGTCAAACCATTGATCCATCCTTTTCCACTGGAAGGAAAACTTCCTTCCACCAACCAGCTGAGCCTCCACTCCATGGGAGAAGTGTTCTGCAAATCTAGCAGTGTAAAGCTGTGAGTCTTTAAAAGAAAAAAACAAAAAACACAAAAAAATCCAACTACCTACCCCACTTCGAGGGGTGAATTTGAAATTTATATCCAAAAACCCAGCAGAAAAAATGCAACGTGTTCCTCCAGCAGCCAGCAATAGAAATTCCCCAGCCACAGCCATGAAAGGTATAAAAAGACCCAATTATTTTTGAAAATGAAACCTCAAGCCCAGTGAAAGGCACAGGGATGCTGTGCCCAACCTGTTTGCAGCAAAAACCACAAAACCAGCTCTTTTCCCCCAAAACTCAGAGCTCAGCCATCACTCTGCAGGCCAACATCACCCAAGCAAAACATCTGGGAGCTGCATCCCCAACTTATCTTTCCCTCATGCCAGGTAAAACAACAACTTCTTCCTTTGTGCTGTCCAAAACTGCAGCTCCCAGCCTTTGGAAGTTCCAAGTTGTGTTTCCACGAGTCCCAGCATCCCCCAAGCCACACAGAGCTATAACCAACCACAGCCAAGCCCATTTTTGCTTATTAAACTATTTATCACTGCAAAGTGAATTGTAATTAGGGGGAAATGCAGCAGGTCCCTGTGAGGAGTCATTGAGAAAGCAGCTTCTGCTGTTGTTGTTTTCACTCACACGGAATTATTGCTGCCCAAATGAGGTTCCTGTGCAAAAAAAAAAAAAAACTCATCACAGCTGCTCACAAATATCCCAAGAGATGGTGGTTTGGCCAGCACCTCTTCCAAAACTCCTTTATCTCCTCTAAATTCAGTGCAGCATCCTGAATTTCCAAGCAGGGAGGTTGGTGTTGTAAACAAGAGTCAGGCACAAAGGAAGGAAGGATTAATTCAGTGTTCCATCCATCATCTGCTCCAAGTTATCTGGGAAAAATGATTCCAGCAGGTGGGATTAGTGTGGGGAGGGAGGTCAGCTCAGAGGGAGGGTTGGGATGTGACTCAGCCCTGTGTTTCTCTGGATGCTGGACACATCCTGCTGCTCAACCCCTGTCCTGTGAGAAAAATCCAACCTCCACTTCCCCAAAACAGATTTTTAAGGCAAGAATCAATTTCTGGTTGAGAGAAGAGTAAAGCACCCCAAAGGTAATGATGTCACAACATATTTTGGGACAAATCAGCCCTCAGCTACACAGACATGATCAAATTGGCACTTTTGAGGAGGGCAGGCAGCATTTGGGAGCTCAGCACACCTGGATGGGGCGTCCCAAAAGCCACCCTGGGAACCTCCACAGAAACCAGCAACTGCTGCTGCACATTTCATGTCCAACCCACCAGCCTGGAGTAAAATCAGCATTTAAATATGTGGAGTATTTTCTGTTTCATAGAGTTAATATCACTTTGGGAGCCACAAATGGCTCATTCAAGCACGGAGGGTGCAGTGAGAGAAGGGAGTCGATGCTTCAGGGAAGGAGCAAATATTTCCCTGGCAGACTGACTCAAATAATAAATGGTGGCAGCTTGAACCCCCTCCAGGAGGCTGGAATTGGAGGAACTTGGAGAGATGGATTAATGGGCAGAGATGTGATGCTGCCAGCCAGATAATAAACAACTGAAAACAGGAGATTTGCAGAAAAATGCTCTTTTATTTCATAATGCCAGACAAAGGCAATGACTCCAACTGGAATTTGGCCAGATCACAGTTAAGATTTCTTCAGGAGAGTGCCTGTGGATGTTTAATGAGGATGGCCTCAGCTCTGCTGATTTACAGAGCCACTGGGATCCCAGGAAAAGCTTGGAAGCTCTCTTTGGGTAAGGTGACTCCAGGATTTGCTTTGAACAACTCCAACAATTCCGATCCACCACTGCCTTTAACCCAACTCTGCCTTGAGCTCACCAAATCTCATCCACTCATCCCTCCTAAAGCAGCAGGAGCTGCCCAAATCCTGATTTTCCATCCAAGCCTGGGGTTGGGGCTCCAGCTGGGGCTCCAGCCCCAAGCCAGGATCCTGCTGGCCATGCAGAGCCTGCACCAGATGGCTCCTGGTGGGACTTGTCACTTATTCCTGCTGCTCCCAGACGGATGGGTGACAGCCCAGCCTGCCAGCAGGCTCAGCCCAGAGGCACATGAGACTCTTCAGAACCCTCCCAAGCAGGGTGACACCACGAAGTTTTCCTCCTGCAAAGGCAAGAGGCAGAAAAAGCTGCAAATCTAAGGAGGATTTGAGCAAAGCACAACTGAGGGGTCATTCTTCCACCCCTTCAGGTCCTGGGAGCCAGCTCCACCCAGAGCCCCACACATTCCTGGCTAAAACCCAAAGAAAAAGGTTCATGCATCAACCCTGCACAACACCCACCCTGTTAACCCCAGTCTGGCTGCTGGGCCTCCCCTTCACAGCTCTGCAGTGAAGCAGTAAATGAAAATATAACCAATTTAATCAAATCTGCCTTTTCCATTTTTGTGTATCTGCCCAAAGAACTTCCTGGAGCATCCCAGGTGCTGCCTGGAGTATCCAAACCACAGGTCAGGAGCAGAACTTCATCAGTTTCTCATCCCTTTTGCCCTGTGAGCAGTAGCTCTCAGGGCTGCCC